TCTGAGAGACAAGTTCTGAATTAACCAATTTTGGGAAAGCATGAAATGTTTTGGATACGTGATAAGGTCACTAGTCAGACTCCCCAAAAGCAGTGGTTGAATGGAAATCTATAGGCAAGAGATKTAGAGGACTCAAAGAAGCAATGAATATAWGGAATAAAGCAAGATTTAGAGAAATTAAGGATACCAAGTTGGGAAAAAAAAGTATATAATCGAGAAGCGTGGAAGAAGTTGTCAGCAGCGTCAAACACTCTTGAAGAGCTGTGAATTGTGATGCCAAAGAGATTTTATTAAACTACTATATTATTTCCAGAAACAACTAATGATTKAAATTTTTGAAATATGATAGGGATGCTAACTTTTATGTTGGAAAACACTGGCCCAAAGAAACAAAAATGTCATAATTTTTATTTAATATTACTTGAAACTGAACTCTATGGTCTGTCACACATTCACATATGAAATAAGACAATGACATAGCAGGTATATTGATTAATATATGTACAGCTGTTCTGCTGTAGGTAGTATGATTTACTACCTACATATAAAAATGTCAGAAGTTGACGATCGGCATACATAAATACTTAGAAGTCAATAAGTCATTAAGACTATACGATTTATATCTGATAACTGATTTCACAAAAACAATAAAATATTAATGTATTTGTATCGAAACTCTCTAACAGATGAAAACATCAAGTTTTATAGGTTGGTGATAGATTAATACCAGCTACTGGCTTTTTAAGTTTATGGAAGTAAAATATCAACTGGTTGACAACCCTATAGGTAGATGGCTGATACATAGAATTAAGCACAGCACCTTAATAGCAGTTTTATAAAAGTGATATAGGTACAAACACAAAATATCAATAACACTTGAGTAGTGACAGAGTAGCACTGTATCAAATATTAATGTATAGTTTAAACAATTTAGTTCACAATAAACTTGCTYTCATAACACCAGTGAACATATAAAGATAATTTTGAATGTATACRGATATATTAGCATTTCTCTAATAAACCAAGCCTAAGTTTAATAAATGTATTAAAAATTACTTATAATTTATGAATATTTTTTAACGATTTATTTAGCTGCAAAATCCAAGCCACAATAATAACCAATGTATCTGAAACACGGTCGAAAGATAAATTTTGGCTAGTTTGAAGTAATAAAATTAATACCTCAACAAATAATTATTGATATAATAAGCTCCTGAACAAATATCAGATGCAATAATTTATATTTCAAATGATAAGTTGTAATATTAAACTTTATGAATAAATCTAAATTCATTTATAACGTATTTCAATTATTATTGTCTAATGTGCACTTATGATAATTAAATAAAAATTGTAAATTTATCTATATACAGTGATTACTTAAGTCTGTGTAAAAATATACATATATAACACTAATTATCTAATATATATTCTAATATTACTAAAACAATTGATTAACAACACTGGAATTAATCTTGCAAAATTAAAATTTAAAAAAATTAAATTAGAATGTATAGCTAGGGCACTCTAGATCTATTTTCTAGATTTCTAAAAACATAATTATAAAATATAAGCTGATCGCATGTACTCAAAAAATATACAGAATAAAGCTTGGATAAAGAAAATATAAATCAAGTTCAAACGTTCTGCAAAAATAAATAAATAAAATGTTTTTAAATCTTGATTCAGCTGCAGCTTGGATAATAAACTTACATCCTGATGGTTAGCTATCAAAGATCTGATATTGTTAATTGGATAACTGGCCATCGTGGAAGCACGAGGGCTTGGTGAATGTTCTCCCTGAATGTCAGCATAACACATTATTACATAAAAGTTTATTACCAAATGTTATGTTATTGATAAAATACAATGATTAACTATCATTTGAAGATTTTAGTCACCAAATTATATTATTATTGCAAGTAGTTGACACATTTTAAGACTAACAGATAACAATAAAAATCATAAGATTAACAATACAAATAGACTTAAAATAATTATATTATTGAACACAATATTTTCTTTTGAATCAATCACAACATAATATTATATTAGGTATAACTTATGAAATTGACCAAGTATAATTTTTAAGTAAAAATAGAGGATTAAATATTTTTCTGAAACTAAATATCAAGAATCTTTTCATACACACAACAACAAGAAAATTATAATCTGAATGAATGACCTTTTAAAAATGTAAATTATGATTAATCATAATAAACTAATAATCAAATTGATGTTGATTTGGACAGTTGATACTATTTCAGGAAATATAKAATAGACGTTTGGGATTAGTATGTTTACTTATAGACATGAAAAATATAATTCTCTTGGCCAAATCATTTAGTATTGGACATGTAGCCATATTTTACAAGCATATTATGTTTRATATGTAATATTAATATTATATAGAGGTGATTTAAYAATAAGTACATAATTATTAATAAAAACTAAAAAATACTGATGGCTAGGGTTTGAAAGTTATAGGAGTTGAACATTATTCTGTATGCTCTTGATTTATGGYAGACCAAGCTAGAAATCCAAGCTAAACAAYGTATAGTTTAAWGATTAAAAATGCATATTTAGCATATTTCATCAATTTTTAAGAAATAAATGCATATTTCTTGGTTTTCATAAACAAATCTTGTATAATTCATATTACCATTTTTAGCTCCTATAACTTCCGAACCCAACTGATGGCTATAAGCCAGTGGCGTGTCCAGAACTTATTTTGTGGATGGGCCACAAAAATTAAGTTCAGAATGGTTTTACCCCCTTCTCATACTAAAATTTGATCTATTTATTAGTTTTAGTATTTTTATTCTATATAAGTCTAGTATACTTATATAAAAATGTGGGTGGGCACATGCCCACCCCCTAAACACGCCACTGCTATAAGCCGGTAGGTATATTATTATTCTGGAATAAGTTTGCAATATTTTGTTTTATATCTTCTTGAGCAAGGCTTGTAAGTTCATGATCTAAAAAAACACTTGAAYATGCATGTAGCTATGGTCCAAAAAATTATCAAATATACAGTATAAAACCTTCGATTATAATAAAAACTCAATATGATATAAATATGTCAATTAATTATTTAAATTTATAATTAATACTTCAATTAATACCTACTTAATCACATCCCGGTATTTTTTTATTTCAAACTTTTATGAATAAATACATTTTTTTTTATGCTTTTGATCATAATTCAAAGTCTAATAAAACCAGACCAGATGGATGGTACATATTTTTGATCATTTAACTGTATAACTGATTCAATTTTTAAAACGTTTATGTTTTTGATTGACATCCAAAAGATTGGCACTTAYTTACATTAAAATTACTTTAACAGTGTTAACAATGAAATCAAAAAACACTTTAAATGTTCTTTGACCATGAAAAATGTATTATTATATTAAACCAAAACATGCCAAATATGCCGATAACTTAAAAATGTTCAGTTATAATGCAAATTGAAATTTTTTATATTGAAATCCTGTCACCTTGTAACGATTTACTATGTTACTTATCATTTAATATTACTTGTTAATTAAAGTGATATGTAAATGCATAAGCTTACAAGCCCTGTGTATAAGATTAATCTCAAAAATATATGACTACTTTAGTAATTTTGTTTTTAAAAAAACAATTTCATTAGTAATTTATACATTTAAAAACACTTTGACAATACTGTAATATAATTTGTACCGTAAAATAAATAAAAATATATCAACTATAAAAATKATTTCCGAAAGTTTAATAATCCCCTGTCAGATTAGGACAAAAATTCAAGAGGTTATGATTGATAACAATATAAAACACAACTAATATTGTGGGTACCTAACCTGTTATTGTTATCTCAATATGTCTCAATATTAAATTATAGTCAAGTTTAGAAATTTCAAATAGCTTAATGGTATATTGATAAATTGTTAAGATAAAATGAACAAGTTGAATAAATGGATAACAGTATTCATAAAAATCAAAGAAGAATATAAGTACTTAAGTTATTTAGGTATTTAAATTTTTAAGTACAAAATAATAATAACTGTTCAGATATTTTAAGCAATTAAAATACTATTATTTTACTATGCATACATACCAAATTATAGTGTATTATACAACATACCTCGCGAATTGTAAGTGTATGAGATGCCATATGAATATTCATTTGAGATTGACTAGTAGGTAAATTTTCACTAGAACAGGAACGATTTAATTTATTGGAACCAGATAAAACAGCTTTACTCTTTAATATCATCTCAGTTTTTACAAAAACTCTATGAATGTATGCTGAACTCAGACCTCGAATTTTAAATGCTGTTTTAAGCATTTTTTGTGGATTTGCCTAAGTACAATAAACATATAAATYATAGCTATTATTTATTTTATTTTATTTAAGACATTGTGTATTTGAATTAGGTACCGGCATTTGACGGCAAAAATTCATCAAAGCTACATCTACTCCATGACTATTTATTTCTTCGGCCCAAATAGAATTACTTGTAGTTGAGTATTTGTAAAAAAGTTGCAAGATAGCCATTGATACACGATATAACACTTTGATACCTTCATGAAGATAACAATCCATTACACGGACCTAAAATAAAATRATTATATGTTTCTTAGCATAATAAGCCTTTAAACATAAAAAGTTATTATATGCAACTAACTGCATGGTGAAACGGTAGTCCTTGAAATATCCACCAAATCCAATCCATGTAAATTTTTTCTGATTTTTTTATTGGACAATGTTTTCCAATGTGCCCCGCAGCAGATTTCTATAAGTAATTATTTTTAAAATTAAAAAAATATTTTAATATTTACAGTTTGATAAATTGTAGGTAGGTACGCACAACATGTTTTCTACAGATATTTAATACAGTTTTCCATGTAACTTCATATAATAATTTTGTTTGTGTTACAAATACTAAGTTCTTGGACGAAACTAAGCTTGTTAGACTATTATAGCATTCTTCTTCTAAAAAAAAAAAAATACAAAATACAAATTTAAAGATAGTTTCTTAGATGAAGTATGTTATTAAAATAATTATAATATTAAATTCAAACCAGGCATAAAATGTAGCAGCAATGATGTTAACGAATATATAGCAGGGCTATAAGTGATGTCTGGACAAGCAAACCCCAGTACGCAAACAATTCTGTCAGTAATATTCTTGCCTGTTGAATCAAGATGATGTAAATGTCTGTGTTTCGCCTCAACAAATGTCGGCAAAATAATTGGTTTATCTGGAAGATCTAATAAAATTCAAAGAATGTTTAAATTATTTTTTTAAATAAAATCATGAATTCAAAACTTAATATTAAAAAAGGTGCCCTACCCCTAACTGGCTAACTAATTTAAATGTGTATATAAATGTTTACTATTTCAAATGTTATATAATTGTTTTCATTCTTTATTTTTGAACAGTGAATAATGAAGCACTGGAGCAAGTGCAGGAGATGGAACTTAATATGTGTTATCTTGACTACCAAAATATTTCCAATACTACCTGTTAGAATCAACTACTTCCGTATAGGAATCTATTTAAAAATATACATAAAAAATCTAAAAATAATATATAGTTATAAAAATTGATTACAAAACAAAATATAAGTACTTAAAAAAATCTGGTAAAAATAATACAATAAATAAAACATGTAGTTAATAATTTTTTTATGGAAGGTAGTATGTTGAAAGATCCATCAGAATTTTATCGAATGGTGTAAAATTTCCAAGGTTTTGTCGCCATACAAATTTAGTTAGATATGAGTCTAAATGATGGCGAGCTGTTGCTCTCTGTACATTTTTAAATAGATTCCTATACAAAGGTAGTTGATGGAAGACGTATTCGGGTAGTTGATATAACACATAAGTACTCAGGAGATAAGTAAATATATTATTGTTTATAAAGAATAATAAAAATGTTAAAAAAGAAAAATAAGTAATTTAAATTATCGCAGAAAACAAAATATTTATTGCTGATTAGTGTTTAAACTAATATTACTATTATATTACATGAATATAAGTAGGTAGTAACTATTTATATAATATTGCAAAAACATAGTAAAATATTATGATCATAAATTATTGTGTACCCATATACCTAAATAAAATAATTTAAATAACTCATGAAAATATTAAATGCTGTTTACTTAGTTTTTTTCAGTTTTTTTTTTTTATTTGGTATTAAATAAAAAACATTTCAAACTGAAAATTCTTGATTAGGTACCTAGGTAACTATTAGTAAAAAAAGACCTAAATAAAGATTTGTATAAAAATAATTGATATGGAATARATTTTTAAACAACGAGGTAGAGAGCATCTTAGTTAGCAAATAGGTAGGTATTCATTTTTTTCGGGATTTTTTTAGTAAATGCCTAAATTTTTGAATTGGGTACCACCTAGGTACTCAAAAACATTTATAACATAACTTTATAACATTTTAGGAGAAAGCATGGTAAACATCTTACCAGTAGACCCAAACAATTGTCGTACTTGATCCCAGTAGAACCCCTCTTGCATGTTGTTGCTGTTGTCAGACGTATGTTGTCTGCAAAGTGCCGGCCACAGTTGAGCCCTGATCGGATGGTTGGTCGGCCAGCAGTTGTCGCGCAGTATCTTCTTGACGTCTTTCTGGAAGCCCGCCGCGAGGAGGTTCTGGATGTCACCAAACGACTTGAGGGCTGGCTTCTTGGTCGTCAAGGGACTGCCGGGGAACGCTGACGTCGGTCCGAGTGTCGTCGGCATTGGAGGTATACCGTCCACGTTGACGTGGGGCTGATACACGTCRGCCGCGGACGACAGCAGCTCATCCTTGGCTGTCGACGACAACATGGCACCGTCGGCCACCACCATGAGGACTGATTTAGGTGTAGTCGTTGACGGTCACGAACTTGGTTTTTCTGGCGTTTGACATCACTGGTCCTGGTGGCCACCTGCAGCGGACCCGGACCGAGACGTGATGGCGAAGGCAGACCGGCGGCGGCCGACGACAGGTGTGTTCATCACGCCGATCGACGACGGGCGCTTMGGAATATCAACAACAACAACAGCAATTATTATTACCACAGTCGCGGCGACTACACGAACTGAACATCATCCGACGGTCGTCTGCGGCGGAGAACCTCTCAAAACCCGCGGTGCATTATCACTATCGACGGTGGCGGCGGCACGCGACATTCGCCCAGCGCACACCTCTCGCGCGTGCGCGGCTGCAAAGTCGACCCGTCGCTCACCTCCCGTTTAGCGTCCACCGCGGAGGCGCTACGACAATACAAATAATATTATCGCCGTCGTCGTTTTGCCCGCGATTGTGCGGCGCTCAGCGGCAGCGGCTCCTCCTCCGGTCGGCGCAAACGCGACCGTTACCGTCCACGACCACCATCCCGGTCGATCTCGGTTGTGCGCGTGTTACCGACCGCCGCGGTCCAGACGACGTAGAGACAATACCGAATATTTTGGAATTTTTTTTATCCATCGCAAATCAAAAACATAACGTATTTACAACATTATTATTCTACTGTTTATCACAAATATTGATATTAAACGGGGACGGCGGCGGCGGCGGCGGTTTTATCACGACGATAGTAAGTTGTTGTCGTCGTGATAGCGGCGCGGACAACACCTTATCTTGTTATTGATTAAAATATGTTCTGGTTCGCGCCGAGCATGACTCGAAGGCGGCGGCGGCAGCGGCAGCGGCAGCAGGGTCAAAGGAATATAGTAGGCGCCCGTGCTGAGACCTAGGCGGGGTTGACGGAGGGGCGGCTGGTAGGGGAGGGAAAAAAAGGGTTAAGGCGACGACGTGAAAGCGGTATCTGTGCACGCACGAGCGGCCGCGGTGGCGTTTATGTAAAGAAATACGTCATGGTACTACTATTGTTATGYACTTGCAAAGCTTAGTATTATGTAATGTGTAACAATAATTAGGGAACGGATTTGAATGCACTAAAAACAAGAAAACTAGGTACGAAAAAATACGATTGAAAGCCCTCGGAACAGAATTTTTTTTTTAAAATGCTCTTAAAATTATTCAATAAATTAGTTTAATCATATTTCTGATTAAATTCTTATTTGTAGGTATTAATTATTCGTATCGTTTTCATCATCTTTTGGTTCTATCTTATTTTTGTCCTGAAAATTATTCAACCAGCTACCTATATAGGTACAATTCACTATTTRGACAGATATATTCGTTCTACTTGTACCTTGCGTTTCATATAGGTATTATCATTTATTTTTCTTCTTTTAGAATGAATATTAACTAAATTTTCATCGAATTTTACCTATTCCTATACAAAAATGACTTAAAAACATAAAAATGTACTAAAAAGTCTAAAAATGTCAAAAAATGTTCTAGAAAACACGAAAAAGTGTTAAAAATTCAAAATAAAAGTTAAATTTTTTTATTCCTTGGTGTATGGAATGAACTGTTTGTGCTTGGAAAGCAATGTTTTCGGACATTCAGAAAAAAATTCACTTTGCATTCAAATCCGTTCCTAAGACAATAATGATATAATATTATAATAATAATAATATTTAKATAGAGGTGTATACAGAATGATGTAATAACATTATGGATACAGACACGACGGCAATAATGACGTTATTGTTATTACAATAATTATAATTATGAGGTTGTGGCAACTTCGAGAAGAATATTATAATGTTATTATTATAGGTAGGTACGAATAAACGCTTTAAACCTTTGTTTCCGGCTACCTCAGTCTATCGATCATAAAATAAAATTATAGAGTAGGCACCTAACTACGACGACCTACACTTACGTCCTACGACCTATACTACGTACCTATATAACTATATATCGGTATGCAAATCAGRCGGCCGTCGTCGTCTGCATGTGCAGCGTGTAGTGAATTCGGCTGCTCCAGGTGGCGGTGGGGAGGCGAAATTTTGATCGGAAAATCCGACGAAAATAATTGTCACAGGCCACACTTGCGAACAGGACAACACGTCAACACCGTAACAACGACATGTCACTACGATAAAATAAATAAAACACGTGTGTCGGCTAATATAAAAACATATATATATATAGGCATATGTGCACTGCACACGAAAGAAGTGATGAATACTTAAACGATAACAACACCTATAATATTTGACTTTGACGATCGAAGTTTGATTGGAATTAGAATAACGAACGTAGTGTTATGCATGTAATATAATTAATATAACTATATCAATATCATATGGGTATTATGTATTTATACGTATACATACAGTAGGTATATATTATCTAGAATAAAAAAATAATAATAATAATAACTTAATTATAACGTTTAGCGTCAAAATATACTGTGTCAAACAGTCCGCTGCACCTGCAATGAAGTATTTTCAATTTGACAAATAAAAATGATATTATATTAGGTACTTACCTAAATCATAAATAATATTATTGGTGTACCTACCGAAAAATTTAACATATAGTAATATCGTATAGGTAGGTACTAGGTACCTACCTATATTATATTATTATTATGTTCACCTCGCGAACCTGACGACTGGCTCGCCTCGTGATGTTTACGATGCTCACTTGAATAATATCGTTTAACTAACTTATACGCATATTGTAATAATATCGTATTTCGTGTTTTGCACATCGGCGAACAACATTATTAGCGTTTAACGGACGTGCGCATATAAAAATATAATAACTACAAATATTATATTATTACCTGCTGGCTGCTATGGTAAATTATAATAAGAGGTATTATCACAGTATAATATGTTTACGCAATAATTGTTTATATCGATTATTCGCAACGATGGTGATATAGATATACCTGTATTATTATTAAATTAAATTAATTCTCTGAATCAGACAACATAATAATAATATGAACGCTGCAAGTGCATCATTAATGCGCGTAGATAAATTTTATTGCACGAGAAAAAAAAAATGTTATTGTTTCTTTTTCAAGTGCTAAAAGCTCGTGTCGAATGGAGAAAGTCCGCGATTATTATTTAAAAATGTTTGATAATATACAGAGTGATTTTTTCAGACATGCTCATTCTATTTTCGTGGTTAAATTATGCCTGTATTAAAATTCAGATCTTTAGAATTTTTAAATACACTTGAAGACCATTTTTCGAATCATCAACATTTTATTTAATACCATTTAAGAATGATCTTGTGATAATAAAAACTTCAGTTTTATCAAATAGAAAACTCCTTTTTTAGTTTTTTTTTTTTTTTAACAAACAGTTTTTTTTTGAGAATTTTGATGTATCCAAATCAAAATTCAAGCTAAGAGTTTTTGAGATGTGTAACTTTGTGTTTTAACTTTTTATGGATAATATTATGTATATGGTAGTGAATTAAGTAAAAAGAAGGCTTAGACGATTTGAAAAAGTTAACAATTACAATTGATTTTTCAATACGAATAATTTTTAAAAAGGAYCCAAGTATAATCAATATCACATTTAGTTTTTATTTTTATAAAATCATTTTTAAGAATTATATCCTTAGCATACACATTTCACTAACTCAGAAACTACTTATTAAAATTTTGATGTAAAAAAAAAAAAATTTAATTTAAAAAAAAAACCTATCTACTAAATAATTTTCAATAAAAAAGGGGTTCTCAATTTCTCACTTGAAATATAGAATTTGGTATCGTTTCTGGATAATCCTTAAGTAGTACATGCAGAAAATATCATAAATTTAAAAATATGGTCTTTAAGTCTATACTTAAAAAATTCTAAAAATCAGAATTTGAATAAATGTACTATTAAAGGGAAAGATTGGAGCGAGCATGCTTAAAAAATCACCCTGTATATAATAGAATGTCGTATGGAATGAGTAAAACATCACAAAAATTAGCTATATATATAAGTTATATATTATATAGACGGCTGAAATATTTTAATTTACAAATAACGATATTCCTAATCGCGGTGTTATTATTACTAATTGCCCGACAGCAGCTGTTGATGTGCTATTACATTATGTATACATTTTCTAATATAATATGTTTAAGTTMTGTTTGCTCTGTTTCTTGTATTTGGTACTCACATATTATTATATTATCTGGATACAGATTTATATAACAATATTTATGTTTATAATAGTACCCAACAGACGGCAAAGTATTTAATATATATTATATAGTAGAAATTTAGTATTCCCAACTGGAATGACATTAAACTCATAGAACAGAATATAATATGGTGTAGCAGGATATATAACCTTGGCCTATCAAGAATTAACCCCATAAAACCGTATATATTCAAAGTAGTAATCGGAGAAGTCGCTGCTGTATTTCGCAAGTGCCACACTTTCACCCCATGTTAGCTGTTAGCGCAATTTCGTTGGAAAAAATTGATCGTGCTAGAACGAAATAAATGAATTGTTCCAAGTACGTTATAATAATGGCCCAACAATGCACGCATGTGCAGATGGTGCTAGCTGCAGAACATTTTCTTTTATAGTTTTATACTTATCAGATATTATTTATTTAATTCTATAAAATAAACTGTTAAATCAATAAGTAATTTTTTCACACATGTTTATGCAATACTGCAAATTATAGTTTATATCTTAATTCAAAATGCGTACAAATTCTAGAGTATTTTTAATGTTTTAGTCACGAATAATTTTTGTAATATATTATACTTACTTAGTTATCAGTAGGTACTGCATAATATCTTCATTATCCTTAATTTTAAAATCCAAGTAACTAAATTGTATTTTAGTACCTACCCACAGCATAAAATAATGTACAAATATTTTATGAGTTACCAATGTTGCTTCGTCCACCCTCTGCAGATTGGTTTCAGAAAAATACTTGATTCGCGGTTACCCCAAATGAGTTGGCGCGCACTTGTCTCTATAGTTTCATTAAATCAATCTCTGCAGATAATGTCAACTGGAATATATTATAATTTAAAACAATGTATTGATATTTAATAAATCTATGATTGTTATAGTAAAAATATGGCAGTAAATAAATAATAATGACGGACGTTAACTTATTGTCAAAAAGTTAAAGTATTAAGTTAAAAAGTTATTGTTGATCATAATAATTGTCGTGCGGTTAAGTTGATTTTCTTTTCGTATCATGCGGAACCAACAGACAATAATGTATAATAATTTATATAATATGTATACTGATTAGTTGACTCTTATTCGATTTTGGTCATTTATATGTTATCTAACAATAATATCTATATCATAATAATCTGATGATTGCACATAATACTGCTTAACGTAGTCTTGGTGTAAAATATTTGTGTGAATAAAAATAATATAGGGCACTTAATTATTAAAGAATATTTTAGTTTGAAAAATTAATGAACTTCTTAACCTTAAACTTGTTGAGTTAAGTTTGCGGCCTTTATTGTTAACTTTAGACTAAAAGCAATTCAATTCGTTGAATAAATTTAACTCGTCGCGGTTAATTATTTCCCATTAGCTTGCCCGACCTTGGTATACCTAGCTACTTACAATACACTACACTATATCGGACTTGGGAACGTAGTACAGTTATAACACTGTGGAGGCGGCGGCCGCGGTGTTTATGTCGAGTCGAGGGTGCGGGGGAGGAGAGAGGGAGCGCTGTTATTGTACACACACTACGATAGTAAAATTATTAAAATAATATTATATTAAAGTCGGCAGTCACCATAATATTATATATATGGCGTTATTRTAATAATGTACAGCAGCAACAGCAAACAGGGTTTATGCGTTGAACGAGCTGTGGTCCCGCTGACGGATTGCCAGATTTCGTTTRCTCTAGCACGCACACACACACGTTAAAGTATTTGCACTGTAAATAGTATTATACACGTGGTACGTGTGTATGCGTGTGTGTGTGTGTGTGTGAATCATTTTGTTATTTTTTTTTTTCGACAAGTTTGAATTATTTACATAGCGCCGCCGACGCGAGCAATAATAATAGCTCGCGYCGAGAGCAGCCGCGAGAAGAGAGAAAAATAAAATAAAGGCCGCCGCCGCAGCGTTTGGTCGGCAAAAATATAATAACATATATATAATACAATAGTTCTGCGTTGTAATAATAATAATCGAACAATATTTCGTTGTGCATCATGCGCGCTCGATTTATTTCGAGTACGTACGTACGTATATTATTATTATTATACTTACGTTATTTTTATTATTTTTATTATTAGTATATATTTATTATGATTCCACTTTCCACGCCGCCGTCATCCGTCAGCGAGCTGTTTGCCAACCGATTTCCTCGTTCGTTTGTTTTTACCCGATCGGAACGAGCAGCAATAATATTATTAACGGCCGCTATAGCTAGGTGTACCCCACGAAATAATTATCCGAT